TTCACAGGTTGGCGCAACAATCTGAAGCCCATCTAACCTAAACTATTCCATTATCATCCATATGTTTATCCAATGACCATTTAAATGCCCTTAAAGTGGGCAAGTCTACTATTTTTGCAGGCAGGGCATTCCACGCCCTTACTACTCTCTGTACTTTGGGAAGAAGAGTAGAGGAGCTAGATATTATTTAAGTGGACAAATACTACAGAAAGCTGTAACACACAGTATTTGGAGGCCCTCATGCATGAATTTAAAAAAAATAACATCCAGGTTTAGCAGGTCATCAGCAAGGTAAATGGAATGTTGTCATTTATTTAAAAGGGAATTGAATAGATAAACAGGGATGTCTTGCTAAAACTATACAATGCACTAATCCAATCCCATCTAGATAACTGAACAGTTTCGGTCTCCTTAGATGAGGAACAATATGCAGGCATTGAAGGCAGTCCAGAGAAGCTTCATGTGTTTGGTCTTGGGTATGAATGAATTTTCTTAAGAGGAGAGGCTAAGTAGGTTGGCCCTGCATCATTGGAGTTTAAAAGAATGGCAGTAGAAACAAACATGATTTTTAGTTGGGGGGAGGGTTAACAGGATAAATAAGGAGACATTGGCTCACAAGCAGAAACAATCTAGAACCAGAGGTAAGAATCTCAAAGGAAAGGCTTTAAGATAGAGACGAGAAATAAGTTATTCTGTAGAGAATCTGTAAGGTTCTTTACAATAGACAGCTGTCAAGGATGAGTTATTAAATATATCAAAGTCTGAAATAAACAGATTTTTAATCAGTAAGGGAATCAAGGGTTATAGGGATAAGGCAGGAAAGTGGCATCGAGGATTATCAGATCAGTCATGATCTCATTGAATAATTAACAGACTTGATGGGCTGAATGGACTACACCTGTTCCTATGTCTAATTATAGGGAAATGGTGGCATAGTTGTAATGTCACTGGCCTAGTAATCCAAAGGCCAAGGATGAGATTCAAGCGAGGCATTTAAATGGAATTTAAATTCAATGAATTAATCTGGAATGTAAAGCTAGTCTCAGTAATGGCAGCCATGAAACTGTAACCGATTGTTGTAAAAAGTATTTGATTCACTAATGTCCCTTTCGAGAAAGGAAATCTGCCACCCTTACTCAGAATAGCTTACACATGACTCCAGAATCACAGCAATGTGGTTGACTTTTAACAGTTCTCTGAATTGGTCTAAAAAGTCATTCAGCTCAAGGTTATCAGGGATGGGCAATAAAGGCTGCCACGCACATCCCATGAAAGAATAAAGAAGAAAAGTAGTGAGTCAGATGTCATTAATGGCCTGTGCATACACGAATATTTATCTAATACAATCAGCGTAATATTTGCAGGAGAGAAACACAAAACAACTGCTACATCCCTAAGTCTTCAATGGGACAAGACATAATATATACAGGAAACTGGACAAATTGATAATTGGTAAAATGATTGATGATCATTGGGAGATGTTAAAAAATTAATTTAATGTGACACGGAGTCAGTTTATTCCTTCACAGGCTTACCAAAAAATACAGTCATGGTCTGCTAAAGAGGTAAGAGGCAATATAAAACAAACCAAAAAAAGACATACTAAAAATTCAAAAAAAAAAGCACAGATTCTGACTACTAGGAAAGAACAACAAAGGATGACAAAACAGATAATTAGAGTTTAGAACATTGTGAAAAGAAAGCATGATCAAAACTTATACACTTATATATATTTATCGCCTCATTACAGGAAAGATGTGGAAGCATTGTAAAAGGTGCAGAGGAGATTTACCAGGATGTTGCCTGGAATGGAGGAAGGTCTTACGAGGAAAGGTTGAGAGAGCTAGGGCTTTTCTCTTTAGAACGACGAAGGATGAGAGGTGACTTGATAGAGGTGTACAAAATGATCAGAGGTATAGATACAGTGGACAGCCAGAGACTTTTTCCTAGGGTGGATGTAGCTATTATGAGGGGGCATAGTTTTAAAGTGAGTGGAGGTAGATATAGGGGAGACGTCAGAGGTAGGTTCTTTACTCAGAGAGTGGTAGGGGCGTGGAATGCATTGCCGGAGAGGGTAGTGGAGTCGGCCTCATTAGGGGCATTTAAGCAGCTATTAGATAGGCATATGGATGATAGTATAAGGTAGGGGTGGAGGTTAGATAGACCTTAGGATTAGGGTAAAAGTTTGACACAACATCGTGGGCCGAAGGGCCTGTACTGTGCTATATGTTCTATGTTCTAAACATGTTACATTTACATAGGAAATAGAAGAAAAACTGATAATGATGATAATGTGAGTGAAAACATTCAACAGGCTAAATAATTACTTTGTAACAGATTTACAGTAGAGGAGTACAGTAGAGAAAGAGGCCAGCACATTGAACATCCCAAGAAAAGGAACTTTGAATCAGCAGCAGGGGCTCACCAAAATGAATAATTAAAGTAACAGCGATGAAGAAAATAATGGCAATAAAGAATGACAAATACTCAGGAACAGATGGTTTCCAATCCAGGGATTTAAAGGCACTTGGCCGAGAACATTGTATATACATTGGAATACTATAATATTCCAAAGTTAATGTTGATGTAGGAACTGCTCCTTTAAATTGGAAAGTTGCACATGTCATTGTGCCACTTACCAAACAAAAGAGAGGGAAATTCATGAATTATACTCCGGGTCACTTAATATCTGTTGTTGGAAAATCATTAGAGTTTATAATTAAGCTTAGGGTAACAGAATTCATTGAAAATTTTCAGTTAATCAGAGATAGTCAACATGAATGTATAATGATATGAACTGATGAGTGCAATGGAACCTCCTGATCTCTATATCAACAACCTAGATCTTGGTATATAGCAAACAATTTCCAAGTTTGTAGATGATATAAAACCTGGATGCATTTCAAACAGTGAGTAAAATAGTGTGGAACTTCAAGAGGACATAGAAAAGTGGTGGAAAGCATAGATGAGTAGCAGATGAAGCTCAATACAAAGAAATGTGAAGTTATTAATTTTGGTGGGAAGAACATGAAAAGGCAATATAAACTAAAGGACACAACATTAAAGTGGGTGCAGGAGCAAAACGAGCTTGATTTCCACATTCATAAGTCATTAAGATAGCAGGACAGGTTGAGACTGTAGGTAAGAGAACAAACAGTATTAAAGGCTTCATTAATACGAGCATTGAGTAGAAGAGTAAGCAGGTTATGTTGAATCTGTATAAAATAATAGCTTGTCTTCAGCTGGTGTATTGTATCTACTTCTAGGCATTCCACTTTGTAAAGAATGTGAGGTATTGAAGAAAGTGGAGAAAAGATTAATCAGAATGGTTCTAGGTTGAGGAACTGCAGTTGTGAAAATACATTAGAGAAGTTGTGACTACTTTCCTTAGAGTAAGGAAAGCTGAGAGGACATGTGATAGAGATATTCAAAATCATGAGAGGTCTGGGCAGAGTAGACGGTAAAAAAAATCAAAATTGTGAGGGCACAGCTTTAAAGTAATTGTTAAAAGAAACAAAAGGGATATGTGAAAAGAAACCTTTCTCCTGTGGTACATAGTTAAACTCTGGGGTGCACTGTCTGAGAGCGTGGTGGAGGCAGGTTGAAATGAAACATCCAAAAGGAAATTAGACTGATATTTGAGAAGGAAGCTAAGGGGAGAAGATGGAAGAATGGCACTGTGAATTGCTCAGAAATCCCATGTAGACAAGATGATTCCAATGGTCTCCTAATGTGCAGTATCAATCCTACAGAAACAGTGGAAGTTCAAAGGGACTTGAGGCTGTAGTGGTGTTGAGGTGGAGGGCTGGGGAGTGAGTAAGTGTCAGGGTTGGGTATTCATGTCAGTAAACAATTAAAATGTCATGAAGAGGAAATAATTTTTTAAAAAAGCTAATGAAATGCTGGTTTTTAGAGATAGAGGAATAAAATACTAGATGGTAAAAGTCATGCTTCAGCTATTCAAAGTCTAGACTGCACCTGAAATACTGCAAGCAGTTCTGGGTATTAATCCCAAGGGAGGATATATTGGCCTTGGAGGGAGTGTTTTGTCAGAATGTTATCTGAATTTCAAGGTTGTATTATAAGAAGAGAGATAATACAAATTAAAAGATTTTATTCTCCGAACTTTATAAGGTTAAGGAATTATTTGATTGAACTTATCAAGATACTAATGGGAATAAATAAGTTAGAGAGAAACTATTTCCACAGGTTAAGGAGTCTAGGACTAGACAGTCTTAATATTAAATCTAGACTATTCAGGAGTGAATTTAAGAAACATTTCTACATACAAAGGGTTGTCGAATTTGAAATTCTGCTACTGGAAATTGAGGCTACATCAACAGTTAATTTTCTAGCTAAGGTCAATAGCTTTTGTTTTCCAATAAATTATTACTTTATGGAGCAAAGGCAGATCTCCAGAGTTAAAGCATAGATTAAATGGTGGACTAGGCCTAAGAAGCTACCCCTGTTCCGATCTTCCTACATTTAAAACAAAACTTCGTACAATCATTCATCAGTCATGCTTCTGGAATAGTGTTAATGTTTTGCTTCTAGTATCTGATATTAATGGCTAATCTGAAGAAAGGTCACTGGACCCGAAACATTGACTCTGTTTTCTGCCCACAGATGGTGCCAGACCTGCTGTGTTTTTCCAGCAATTTCTGTTTTTGTAAATAGCTAGTCTGTTTAGTCCATTCATCCTTGTTTAATGAGCATGACTTCCTCCCAAGTTTATTAGCTAACAAATAACTTATCACACCTAAAGAAATGTCAACTCTCAGTCCCATCAATTACATGTTACATTTATTGCATAATCCTCAAAAGGATAAATATTGTTTTTGAAAAGAGTATGAGTTAACTATGCAGCGATAGAATTAAATATTAAGAAGGCGAGTTAAAGAATGATCAACTTTAACATAGCTTTCTTTCAACAACACCCAATAATAATAATAGACAGTTAAGCAATTGAAACATTTGAGCTTTTCTCCTGTACTATTTACCTGTGGCTCAGCCTCTAAATTAATCTTGAAGGGATTTGCTTTGCCATCTTCAGTGACTTGAGGAGACCAAAGCTTAGTTTCAGGCCTGGGATACAAGCAGACAAAACCTCAACTACTGCATTTTTGCTTTTCATTGTTATTGCACGCAAATTATTCATTGAAAATGCACAGATCAGCAAAAGCAAGAGATATTGGGACAGAAAATGACTATAATACTTCTGCCAGAAGAAGCATTCAGTTAGTGTTAAAAACAGTAACTCTGAATGATAATTAAAATGAGCAGTTCTTTTTTTATTGTGCTGCCCAATCATTTGCTACACATGCAACACTCTGGAACGGCTTTATTATAAGGAATCAATTTTCCCTGTAAATCTGCTTTAATTTATTGATGACATAAAATTGCATTACAGCCATACTCACCGGTCAATCTTGAGGCTTAACTGACTGGAGGCAGCCTTGATCCTATTCTGAGCATCAACATGTGTCATAGCGTCTGTACTTATTCCATCAATGGCCAGAATGACATCACCAGGGGAGAGATTAGCTAGTGAGGCCTTGCTTCCAGGTGTTACCTAGAGATTTAAATCACATCAGAATTGTGCTTAGTATTAGTGAACAATATAGATCATGATTGTAAAACTAATTGTACAAGAGTTGATACCAACTAAATACAGGGACAAAGTTGTCAGTATTCCCATTGATTACAGAGCAGAAAAGTGCAAAGTACCAACAGTGGGATGAACATCTCTTGAAAAGTCAGTTGTCTTATGTTTTTCCAGGGAAGTGCATGGCACAGATGTAGTTACTTTAAGTAAACCAAATCACTAACATATTAGACATAAAACATAATCAGCACAAAGGGTTCTCCTCGTCCATTTTATCCACATCACCTTCCCTTTTCTCTTGAAAGTACGTAGCTATGCTCACGTGATTTCTACTACTTCAATCAACAGGGCATTCATTTATGAGCCATGGAAGTGAAGTAGCAATGTGATATTTAACCACAGAGGCATCACATATGAGCCTGATCATTCCTTCCTAAGCAATGAGTAACATAGGTCATTGGAAAATGATTCTGACTAATTTCCCTCTTCTTAGTCCTGTGAGTATTAAGGACTGTTGAATCCAATTATAAAACCCACTATAAGGTTACTAGAAAAGCAGAATTTTGATTGTAATGTGTTACATAACTATAAATGGAATAGAATTATAATGATAGATCATATTCACTCTGAGAGGGTTCCTATCCCAATCACATTTTTGTGTCTCTCAATGTGAGGAGGGGTAAAGGTGGCTCCCCTCTTTTCAGGCTCCTTTGCTGGCCTCTATGAAGACTTATGTTCTTTTTCAGCATGGGCTGTGCCTCTGTCTAATAAAACTATAGTTACCCAATGTAAGGAGTCCATTACAAGGTTTTCTTGATTGAAGGAAAGAACAATTTAATTACCTGCTACCCCTTGGAAAAATAATAAAAATGTGATATCAACCATACATACACACACAGGCACAAAATTAAAGTAGGATAGTGTGTAGTATAAAAAACAAGATAAAACAATATACAGTTTAATGCCCTTAAGGTGTCCTTGAGTAGGAATAAAAGTATTAACCTGAAACCATGGCTTTTTAATTGATGTCTGGTATCCTCAATGATAGTGAAAATTTAAATCTCTTTAAGTTCTTAATCGCCGATGTTTTGTTCACCAGATGATTGATTCTTTGAGAGGTCGTGAGCAGTTTCTTCAGCTGGTTCCTGGCAAAAATAATTCTCTCCCAGTTCTCACAAAAGTAGCCCCCTGAAATACAATAAGGTGCAGAGCTGGATGAACACAGCAGGCTAAGCAGCATCATAGGACCATTTCTGACATGAAGGGTCTAGGCCCGAAACGTCAGCCTTTCTGCTCCTCTGATGCTGCTTGGCCTGCTGTGTTCATCCAGCTCTGTTGTCTCGGATTCTCCAGCATCTGCAGTTCCTACTACCCCTTAAATACAGCTGGTTTGCATATTTCAGTGTTCATTGTTCATTGTTTTCAACATTGATAGTTGCAGCTGATGTCTTTCACCTCCAAAATGTGAAACCTATCATTTAGGTGGAAATCAAAATAGGAAATGAGAGTTTCTTCATGCCTGACTGGGTGGTCTGCTTTTAGCATCTTTTGATTAAAATGTTAATTTCAGTTCAGATGGTTTCATTTATTCCATGTAGGAGCAAATTACTGCAGATGCTGGAATTTGTACTGAAAACAAAAATTGTTGGAAATCACAATGGGTCAGGCAGCATCCATGGAGAGAGAACAAACTAATGTTTTGAGTCTAGATGACTCTTCCTCATTTATTTTCATGTTGGTTTCACAAAGCTTAGCTAATCTATGTGGTCAGCTGATTATTATGATCATTTCAAGTCAGTTGTTTCCTTTTTAAAATCATTTTGGTCCAGTCCCAGATATTAAAAGCAGATGATAGAAGTTGAAAATCAAGAATTTATTTTTTTAGACCACTATTGCGACAAAGGCCATTGAGTGGCATCAGGGTTAAACAGATACCCTGCATGGCCAAGCAATGCACCAGCATGAGCTCCATTACATATTTGAACTGTCTGTGAATACACCATATCAAGGATCACACATACACTATGGCCATTTGATTACTGATGCATACTCATACAAGTGCATATTTTTAAGTTGACAAAACTGTATTTTCCCTCTTTGGACCTGTACGAAACTATAGAAAAAGATTTCCATCCAGGCTGCTTCTAAGTATTGGGAAGTAAAATAAAAGAGGTGCTACTGCTTAAAGCTAAATGGTTTTATCTCATAGCATAGCAAATGGGAGTCAGAGGAGATTGTATGACCCAGCAAACCTGTGGCAATGATGCTATAATGATGAAATATTGGAGGTATGACTGTTGTCTTCTTTTATTGTACATTTTGTAAAAGATAGTTGGTCAATAAAGTAACTGTAACATTGCTGAAGAGACAAGAATTTGAAGCTTCTCACCATAGCAAATCGACATGATGGCATTATCCTTTTATTTCAGGGAATCTAGATTTAAAGCCATTTTGTACAAACACATGAAAATCAGCATGTGAGCTTTAAGATTTCTATGTGAAGTAAGTTTTTGGAAAATCAATTCACGCAGTTTAAAAAAAATCACATTGCCAAAAAGACTGTTAAAAGTTAAAACCCTTTGGTTATCAAAGATGGATAATAATTCTATTTCCCAATAATGGTCTCACTGTGAAACAGAAAAATTTAAAACTGAGCTGGTTCGTTGTTGTTCCACAGACGTTTCATTACCCTGCTGGGTAACATCAGTGCAGCCTCTGATGAAGCGCTGTTGTGTCTTCCCGCCCGGTTTTTAAACTCTGGAGTCCATTGAGCTGGATCACCTCACTTCCGGTTTTCCTTCGTAATGGAGTGTATATGGGGTCGAGTTCTGTGTTTGTTGATGGCTTTCTTCGTGGAATACCAGGCTTCTAGGAACTCCCATGCCTGTCTCTGCTTTGTTTGTCCCAGGACCTTGTTGTTGTCCCAATTGAATTGGAAAACAAACCCATATCAACCCTACGGCAACTGCTCACCCGAACCAAAGACCCACTACCCACTATGGACAGGACCGATATCATATACAAGATTCCCTGCAGAGACTGTGACAAACACTATATCGGACCAACAGGAAGAAAATTAACAACAAGGGTGCATGAACACCAATTGGCTACCAATACTCACTCATCTCAATCCACATGGATAAGGAGAACCACCAATTTGATTGGGACAATACCAAGATCCTGGGACAAGCAAAGCAGAGACAGGCACAGGAGTTCCTAGAAGATTGATGCTTCACTAAGAAAGCCATCAAGCAACACATCGAACTTGACCCCATATACAATCCATTGCGAAGGAAAACCGGAAGTGAGGTGATCCAGCTCAACGGACTCCAGAGTTTAAAAATCAGGCGGGAAAACACAACAGCACTTCATCGGAGGCTGCATTGATGATGTTACCCAGCAGGGTAATGAAACGTCTAGAGAACAACAACAAACCAGCTTGGCGAGCCAACCAACCACAACATCCACAACCCGAGCTACAAATCTACTCCAAAACCTTAAAAGTTCAAAACCATCAGCTTATACTAATTCACTTCCAATTGAGTTTTTGAGAACTTGATTTATGAGCCCAGATTTTAACAAGATGCTGAGTAATAAACTTACATGAAGGAGGCTCACTGAACAGGAAACTCAACTATTAGATAAAGAACACTTTCTGAAACAAGGCAATGAAACTCGAATAATATCAGAATTCTGAAACAGCAACTAAAAGGAAACATATTAATATCGTGCCCCCCACCACCCCCCTCCCCTCCCCGACCTCCAACTGAAATAAACGTTAGGGATCTTGACAAAAAAAAAGTTTTTTATACAGACAGATAGATGTGCAGGTTTGAAGTTTTGTTATATTGTGATTTGGGAGAGAAAACCAGACACTACTTAAGAGACTGAAATCCTTACCAGAGGAAGCAGAAGGGAATTTGAAAAAGGCAATGGAAAAATGCAAGGATTTTAGATACTAAGCCAGTTTCAAAACAACTAAAAGAGCTCCATCACAAGCTGCATACAGATTAAAACAATGATATCATGTTCTTTGCTAACCTAAAATTAGTTTGGCATGAGTAACTAAACATTCTATGTCAGCACTGAGTAATTTGAAGATTTACTGAAAGAACAAAAAACAAGACTGAAGGCTATAGTAGCCATCCCTAAGATTGCATCCTACCCCTGATCCCACAAACCCTACTACTGTCTCTGTCATACCAAGAATGTCACTTGCTTTTAGTTAACCCTACTTAGGCAAAGGATTGGATAGATTTCATCTATAGTTGTATACATTTCAGGTCACAAATCACAGGCAATCTGTTAATGTCCCCCACAGTTGATCAACAAAGATAGTTTGGAACATGAGGAATTGATGAATGAAGTTTTAGGGGTTTATTCTTGTATGAATTTTTAAAATTATGTTTCAAGATGGTACCAGAGCATGGCAACATTTTGCGAACAGGTCTTATTCTTACATATCTTATAATCGTTCTGCTCTTCTAAACCTCATTTCTAAGTCTATCAGAATTATTAACAATGTTCTCTTAGAATCTTTAAACTTGAAAGTAGATTTATGACCGACGAGGCTCGACTACCGATGCTGAATCACTAGGTCAGGGGAGCTAAGGACCTACCAGCGTCCCGCAAGCCTGAATACCTCATGGAAACCCAGAATTCAGGCCCAACCAGACCCCACAGTGACCCAACGTTGTACAGGCCCAACCAGACTGGCTGCAAGACCAGCCCCCGTCCACCACCCCCACGGTGCTTGTGAGTGAGACTAGTTCCCAGGACCCCATCAGACACACCTACCTACCTTGCTGACGCTGGAACTGCAAGCCCAGAGGCCTTCCTGCCTCTTGCAGGCCCAAACTCCCTGACTTTGTGGAAATCTGGAACCGAGGCCTGACCAGCGCAGGAACAAGACCCGACCCCACAATGACCCAACCGAACAGGCCACCAGACATGCCCCCCCTCCCCCA